TGCAATATTAGCTACCCCCCCCACCCATTTTATCATTTTCAAATTTGATAAGCATGCCTTCTATACCATCATTTAATACATCTATAAAAATGTTAAACCCCACCAAACCCAGGACAGAACCCTGTGGTGCCCCATTAATCACTTCTCTCCAGGATGAAGGGCAACCATTTGTGAGAAAACTCTTGAGTTTGGTCTGTCACCAAACTGTACCTAACAGTATTGCTGTCTAGCAAGCTGTTCACTAGCATGTTTGCAAGAATATCATGCAGGACTGTGTCAAAAGCCTTACTGAAATCAAGACATACTATATCCACAGCATTCCCCTGATCTACCATGCTTGTCAACTATCACAAAAAGAGAGATTAGATTAATTTGGCATGACTTCTTTTTGAGAAAACCATGCTGACTCTTAGTAATCAGTGTATTCTTCGCTAAGTGCTCAAAGACTGACTGTTTAATAATCTGTTCTAGAACCTTTCTTAGTATCAACAGCAAGCTGACTGGTTGGTAGATACTTGGGTCGTTTCCCTCATACACTTTTTTTTAAAGATGGGACAACATTTGCCCTCCTCCAATCTGTTAGGGCCTTTCCTGTCCTTCAATAATTTGCAAAAAATATTGATGGTGGTTCTGAGATTATATCTGTTACAGAATACTGGTGAATTCCCCCCCCTCTATAAAATATGACAATTATGACAATAATGTCTTTAATTATATCTTTCCTAAATATTTTCACTCTATGTCTCTTCTGAACTTAAAAATATTATATATTATTTGTCCTTATCCTCCACCTCTCACCTATCTCCATTTTTTTCCTAACAGCAACCTGTGAAATAGGTTAAATTGAGAAGCTAAGACTGGAATACAGTGAACACATGAATATTCTGTTTTGGGCAAGCTGGGATTAGACCTGATCTACAGTGCATTGGGCAGAAGAGGTGTGTTTGAACACAAAGTTCATGGGGTTACCATGGATCTGAGAGAAAGCTTGAATTTTGTGCAGGGTCTGAGTCATGTGGATTTTACAATAATGTGTTATATAACATTATTATTAATCATGCTGTGCATGCATGTATGTGTGTGTATTTATTGTATTTATTGATATTTTTTTCTTTCTCAGGTTTTTCCAAAACTCACTACATAAATTCCAAAGTTTCTTTGCTTAATATAGTAGTTTTGTGTGTTCTTTCACATTAATAACTTTCCCTCTTGTTGCTTGGCCATCTCCTTCTGACCACACTCTGATACTGCTTGGCTGCATGTGTCCCAGTTTTCATCTGCAAAATGTTGGAAGTTATGCCATCTTAACTGAGCTACCTCTCTCTGTGAGTGATAGAAGGACCAGCCTCGCCTACAATAATCTTACTTTTCTTTTGGTAGCACTGTCCAAGGTATTTTTAAAGTAATATTTGTTTGTCCCAGTGGTCACAAATGTCTCTATGTATATGCCTTCAAGCCACCTGTCAACTTATAGCAACCTCATAAATTTTATAGGGTTTTCGTAAGCAAAGAATACTCAGGTGCACAGATACAATTCAATCAGACTCTCAACCTGTTTGATTGCTTTCTGCAAGTTACTGAAAATCAAATATAAAAATAATCCTCTATTTTATTTTATTTTGCCATTTCAGATCAACTGGGTTTTTAAACCAACTTTCTTTAATCTTTGATAAAAGTTTTAGGAATTGTACTTTTAAATTTAGGTGATTTCTGATAGTGCTCAGGATAATAAAAATTGTTGGGATATTGATGCATGTAAATGTATTTCAGCTCTCTATTGTCATTTATTTTTTAAAAAATTATAGTGCAAAAGTTTTAGTTGTTGTTAACCACCCTCAAGTCAATCTCGACTCATGGCAACCCTGTGGATGAGACATCTCCAAGACCCCCTGTCCTCCACTACTCTTCCCAGTTTCTGCAGATTCATACCTGTGACCTCCTTGAGTCCATCCATCCAACATGTGGTCTTGCTCTCTTCCTAATTTCTTCCATTTTTCCCAACATTATTGTATTTTCTAATGAGTCATATCTTCTTATTATGTGACCAAAATATGACAGCCTCAGTTTAGTAATTTTTGCCTCCAGGGAAATTTCAAGCTTGGTCTGCTCTAGGACCCACCTATTTTTTCTTTTTGCTGTCCATGGTATCCTCAGCACTCTTCTCCAGCACCACTTCTCAAATGAATTCATTTTTGTCCATTTTCTTAATTGTCCAGCTCTCGCATCTATACATAGCAATTGAGAATACAATTGCTTGTACAATTCTGACTTTTGTGCTTAGTTATATATCTTTGCCCTTTAGGACCTTTCCTATTTCTTTCATAGCTGCCCTACCCATTCTTAGTCTTCTTTACCATTATATCATTTTAGGGGGGAAAAAATTAAAAGAGAAATGTTTTTGTTCTGATGTATTTTGGAATGGAAAGAAAGCTCACTTGAGAGTGGGACTAAAATATTGCAGCTGATAGCACAAATTGCAAGAAAACAGTCCCGCACAACACAAAAAGCCATGTAGATATTTGTTGTTGTTTTTTAAAAAGTCCTGAAAACTATAGCAACTAATACTGCAATAGCCCAAACACAGTCACTGAGCCTGAAATAGTCCCTGGTCTAGCTTAACTTTAATTTAAAAGTTTCTATTGTATTCAGGTGGGTATTTGACCCTAATAAATATATATTAAAAATCACATGTTGTGTTTATACCTTCTTGAGTGAATTTAAATTGCTTGGATTCTTATCTCCCATTTTGTACCATGTGCTACATCTCAATAACTATTGTATTGTTCAGTTTTAATAATGCCTAAGGTATTCGTGGTTGAAATAAACATATGGCCCACACTTAAGAAAAAACATAAATAACAGTGTTCCAAACCTATCTGTTTTGCTTGTTACAGACCAAGCAGTGAACCATATGCATGTTTACTCAGAAGTGAACTTGATTGAGGGCTCATCTACATTTTCCAGAATACTCTGGGCTGCCCCTGGAGTATTCTGGCCCTGAATTCCACTCCAATCCACCCTTACTTGCTGCAGCAAAATGTGGCGTCAATGGGCAGATGCCTTCCCACGCTGTCCCTGTGAGCCAGCCAGCACCGTAGTTGTGGACATGAGTCACTATGAGGTCAAAATAAGGCACTGAGCCTTGTTCTGATCTCATAGCAACTCGTGCCTACAGAGCAACTCAGCAGGCATGCTCACAGGGATTGCATGAAAACACAGCTGCCCATCATCACTGTCATCTGCTTTCAGCTTTCTGGAAAACCCAGAGCAAAAGATAAGTCTTTTTAATACAGATTTACAAGGGATTGAAACTCTGAATTGCGTCCAGGCATTGTGTAAACAGCTCCTATCTGATTTGGGGTTTGGGGGCTGCATATTGTAAAGAGCATGCAGCCAACTCAAAGCGAATTCAGGTTATAAAGCAAAAAGCAGCTTCATTTATATACTGCTTCATACCACGCTATGCAGCGTCTAAGTGGTTTACAACTGTAAGCTCATTGCCCCCCAACAAGCTGGGTACTTATTTTAGTGACCTTGGAAGGATGTAGGCCTGAGTCAAGCCTGAGCCCTGGCTAGTATTGAACTCGCAACCTTGTGGTTTATGTGTGAGTGGCTGCAGTACAGGCATTTAATCATGATCTCATCCAAAGGTGTGTCCATGGCATTCACATCAAAATGCACATCATCTCTTTTGAAGACTTTGGCTATGAAACACTGAAACTGCAGCCATGAGCCCTTTTACATAATTAGAGCACTATGATTACTCTACAACCATCACAGTTGCCTCCTGTGGAATCCTAGGGTTTGTAGTTTGGTGAGGCACTAGATCTTTCTGGCTGAGAATTCTAAATATTTCTCCTTAAATGTCAAATTCCAGGGTGGTAGAATTCAAAGATATAGCCATGTTAGCCTGTAGAATAGTATATAGCGAGATCTTGTAGAACCTTTGAGACTAATTAAAGAATGAAGTTGGCAGCAGGAGCTTTCATAGACAAAAGGCCTAAGCAGACTGCCAGAAATAGTGCACATTAAATTGAGGCACTGCCCTGGCTCAGTGCTAGGGAGTCATGGGAACTGTATTTTTTTTCTGAGACATTGAGCCTTCTCTGTCAGAGAGCTCTGGTGCCACAATAAATTACAGTTCCCATGATTCCCTAGCACTGAGCCAGGGCAGTGCCTCAATTTAATGTGCACTATTTCTGGCAGTCTGCTTAGGCCCAAAGTCTTTGACAAACTCAAAGCTGCCAACTTTTTTAGTTAGTCTCAAAGGTGCTACAAGATTACTCTTCAAATTCCAGGATTATACAAGATGTGCCACCATGGCTGTTAAAACTGGAATGATAGTGCTCTAATTGGTGTAGTCCAAAAGAGCCCCTTGATAGAACAGGTCAAATCAGACTTTAAATATGTGTTCCATGGCCAATAACAGCTCTAAAGAAATTTGATATTGCTGGTTGGGGATTCTGGGAGCTGTAGTCCAAAAAATTTTTCATCCTCTGTTAATCCAATCATCCTTATCACTCACCACCACCATCCAAAGAACTAACTTTTCTGAGCTCTGTACAGTATCAAATATCCATGTAGAGTTATTGACTCAACACAGCCAACATTTAGGGACTAGGTATGGATTCAGATGTATGAGTTTGTCTTGGAACGATAGATCTACTCATGTCCATCCACATGGCAGATGAGGAATATATCAGAACCAGCATGGGTTATGGCATCTCTAACTCATCAATTCAAGGCTGAACCCACAAGTTTGCTCCTTTGACTTCTTGGGAATTTTCTGTTTGGTTTTAAAGTGCAAAACATTGTGGAAGCAGCAATCAGTAGCTCCAATATTGTTGTTGTGTGCCTTCAAGTTGTTTCCAACCTATGGCAACCATAAGTAAACCTTTCATGGGTTTTCCTTGGCAATATTTTTTTCAGAGGAGGTTTGCCATTGCCTTCCCCTGAGGGTGAGAGCATGTGACTTGCTCAAATTCAGCCAGTGGATTGCATGGCTGAGCTGGGAATTGAACCCTGGTCTCCAGAGTTGTAGTCCAACACTCAAAACCATTATCCCACACTAACTCCCATACAGATGTACTATAAAGTGTAACATTAAATGTAAGCCAATAGAGAAGCCTTTACAAAACTGGAGTTTCAAAATACATGGTATAGATTGTTTTTGTTTGATCCCCTTGTTGTGCTTCTTAGTAGGTCCTGATCTCTTGTTGCACCACCTTCAAAAGAATTTGAAGCTTCAGTGTAAGGTAATCTGCAACAGGAAAAAGACAGGAAAAGTTAACTGCATGAGTATTACATGTGATGGTATTGAAAACATTAAACTTATTGCTTCAAGAAAAGGTCAAAGACTTAATTAATGAAGTTGTCCAATGAAGAACACCATGTCTGTCAACCATTAAAGTCACTCCATAGCAAACAAAAGGAAACCCTTTTGCTCAAAGAGCTTTGAATCATGTTTTTGAATTGTGCTACCATGATTTTCATCATGATTTTCAAGATGGGCAAAAGGTTAGATGAGACCTACTGGTAACAGTAATGCTCTAGCAGTAGATCAGCAAAGTTTTCAGTTGTTTAACAATTACAAGTTTCTAACTCGTAGCAACCCTAAGGTAACAGATTTGTTCAGAGGGATTTTGTCTCTGTCCTCCTGAGAGAGTGTGACTTGCCCATGGTAACCTACTAGGTTTCCATGTCTGAGTGTGGAGTCTCCTTCCTTGGAGGTCTTTAAGCAGAGGCTGGATGGCCATCTGTCAGGGATGCTTTGATTGGGAGTTCCTGCATAGCAGGGGGTTGGACTGGATGGCCCTTGTGGTCTCTTCCAACTCTATGATTCTATGATTCTATGATTCTATGAAATTGAACCCTGGTCTCCAGAGTCATAGTCCAATACTCAAACCACTACACCACACTGGCTCTTGGTACTGTACTACTGGATGCAATAATTCAAAATTATTCGGTCCCTACTCACAGAATGTTGTGCGGCACCAATTTGGCATTGATCTGTTGATGAGCAAGTAGTAAACTGGAAAGCCACTTAAAACCATAGCACATCCGATACTGATGCTGATTGGGTCTGAATAGAAGGACATTCCCACAGTGAAAAGGCAGATGATTGTAAAGGAAACTGGGATGAAGAGAGGAACCTGAATAGGAGAGGTTTTTTTATCAGTCAATCAATCTTTATTGAATAAGTCTCCAGACCATTTCAAATGTAAACAAATATGTTAAAAATGATAAAATAATGAAATAATAAAATAAAAAGATGAGAAATAAAATAAAAATAAAAGGAAAATGTTTATATACATAGTTTGCATTCAATTCAAATTACACCCATCTTGTAAAATTTGCACAACAATCTAATTAAGGTCTTTGACTACCTCATAAGAGGTTTTTTTTAAAAAAAAAAGATTTGCTAGACTGGACTAATTTTTTATTATTTTTTATTTTTTATTATTATTATTTTAATTTCCAGAATTTCTGGCAGGAGAAATCCAGGACTTGTGACTCAATTATTTATTTATTTATTTATTTATTATTGTATTTATACTCTATTCTATAGAAATGCTCTCAGAGTGGCAACTTTTCAAAGTTCTGACCTGTATCATATTTTAAATTCCACCATATTATTTATATACTTGTGCCTTTTCATTATCAACTATAAAAGAGTATGCTGAGTTTTCTTACTGTTATTAAATACATTCTCTGCCACACTGCCTTTGCTGTTGTCTTTTCACATACAACAATGCAACTTCAGGTACTTTCGTCAAGATAAACAGCAACTGGAAATATACGTCATACTGACTGTATCGTCAGTAGGGGATGCACTGGCTCTCTTTTTCATCTGAGGTAAAGGCTGCAGTGAAATTTTTGAACCAGAGTCTGAGTGTAGAAATTAACTGGATGTGAGCTAATAAACCAAGGTTCAAACCAGATCACAGCTTCACATCAGAGTGGAAAGACAGCCTGTTCTAGATAGGATTCCACTTCCCTTGAAAGACCAGCTTTTAGATTGTCTGTTATGCTCCTTCCTGAGGTTCAAAAAGTTACTGTTGAGGCAACTATTTCCATAACACCCTAGCCAGTATGTGGCCACACTGCCTGGGAAGGGGCTAGGGGATTATGGAAACTGTACTTCAAAAAAGGAACTTTTCCCAAGCTCAACCCTTTCTGTGAAGACACACCCAACTAAAGGTGGTGACAAATATGGGTGTGCAATGCCAGTACCCTGGTGAGATCAATCCTTAACCCAAAAAGGCTCCAAAGCTGAATGTAAAGTCCAAAAAGGGGAAATTTATTTTAAAAAACAAAAGGGTTTCTCCTCCCCAGCTGTAATAGGCTTAAAATAAAAGGTACTTTACAGTTTAGGTTTCAGCAATCTTCAGTGTTGTCATCTCTCTGGGTTTGTTCCTAGATTGATCTCTTTCTCAACGAAGCTGGTGCAGAGTCTTTCAGCTTCTGGTGCTCTTGTTTTCTTTGATATTGATGTTTATTGGAATTAACTGCTACAGGTAACTAAATTGGCTAATGTAGTAAATAAGTTGGCTATATGGGAAATAATTTGCCTGCAGGTGTAAGAAATGCCCTTTCCCTCTGCCTGAGCCTTTTGTCACCAAACAAATCAAGCTAAGCCTGCCTAAGAAAAAACTAAAAAATCCCCAGCTAAAGCAGAGCTTGCTTGGAAGGGGCAAACTAAAAACTAAAAAAATACAGGGGATTCCTACAGCTCCTCCCACAAACTAATACAGTGGAACATTCCTATGCTCAAACTAAACTGAAAATGAAGGAAAATGCAGGGGAAAATTTAAACAGTCTAGGCTGGACATCACACTTTCCCTAGACCAAATTAGATTGAGTCATTGTCACAAAAATCTGTTTACATCCATATTTAATCTAATTACATCCAGACTGATTTAAATGTGTTCAATACAAAATTGCCTCTGAAAAAGCAGTTTGACTAATGCATAAAACACCAGCCATCAAACTGATGTTTTGGAGCCTACTTTGGAATCACTCTGAGCACCATGAAGGAAGTCTGGGCTAGAACTAAAAAATCTATTATTTCTGAGAACAGATGCTAGAGGTGTTAAATCTCTACTTAGGCTAGGAATGGGGAGCTGTTTAGATAATCAAAGCTAAGTTTTATATTGCATTAAAAAGTATGAATATCTGGTCTCTGGCCACAAGAGGGCAACAATTGAATACAAATAATGACCGATGGCTCTCTCTTGCTAGAGATGTAACAGAGTGAATTTTCAAAGTTAGGATTTTATCACAAGGGGGAAATCCTGTGCAGAAATGGGGTTTAAATTGGGGGGAAATCTGCAAAAGTGGGTAGATTTTCAGATGATGTCATTGTTAAACTGTTGTTAATCCGAATGGAAAGTAGTCAAAAGCTGCTTCTTTCTACCTTCAGAAAATCCTGAAAGTAAAAAGAGCGACATTTGACTACTTTCCATTCAGGTTAACAACAGTTTAACAGCAATGTGTTTGAAAATCAACCCACTTTTGTGGGTTTCCCCCAACTTTTAAATCCCATTTCTGCACAGGATTTCCTCCGTGTGATAAAGTTTTTAGTCCCTTGCTGCATGAAAAAGAGGAAGGAAAGGGAAGGGAAAAGAAGTCTTTAAGTCTAACTGGTTGCTATTTTGCCATGAGTTTTCATGGATATAAACTCACAAAATGCATTTATATCCACAAAAGCAGGACTGGTGGAGGGTATGCAGCAAGAACAGGGAACATCTTTCAGACAAAGGGCCAAATTCAGTTTAAAGGATGTTCTCATTTAATCATTCCAGTAGTGGGTGGAGCATAAATCAGAAAGTATGGGACCAAAAAGATCAGCTTATTTTACTTAATGGTCTTACCACCAGTAGTTAAGCACAATTTGAGGAGCCACCAAATGTCATGGGAGAGGAAGAGGAGTATTTCAGGGAACCCCAGGGCCTGATGTTTGCCGCCTGTAGCCTACAAAGATGGCTTTCCATGAAAAAAATAAAACAGTAGTAGTCACAGAAGGGGGGGGAAACAGGCTGGCAAAGCATTACCTTGAATGGACTCAATATCTCAGGATGACGATAACGATGAACTATAAGCCCAAGGGTGGCTAGTCCTATAAAAAGCCACCGGGAAAAACTGAAGAAGTTCAATAGGTGGTAAAGATCTCCTACACAAACCATGGCTGTGACCAAAGGGAACTGTGGAGCATAAAAATAAATGGTATGTAGTATTAGATGTTGGAATAAATACTCAGTCCTCAAAGAGTTAAAGATGTCTTAGAGCAGCAGTGATAGAGTTAGGTAGTTTTCAGTAACTCAAAGCCTCCTCATTCCTTATCTCCCTGTTTTTGTTTGAAATGGTCAGTAGACTAAGGGCCTCTACAGATGGTCCTTTGTGCCATCTCGGAAGCAGGGAAGGAGAGGGGCAGCCACACACCAGATGCCCCAGCTCCTCCCTGAGGACATTCTGATGGCATGCGCCATTACGCATGGTGCATGCCATCAAAACGTCCTCCCGGCGCAGCGTCTTGATGCGCTGCACCAGAAGAGACACAGAAGAGCCACGCGGCAAGGAGTGACATTTTGCTGCTCTTTTCCGGGCCGGCAAACAGGAGAATTGGGGCCACTGCATGTGATAGCACTGGCCCCGATTCTCTGTTTCCCGGGGCGGCCCAGGGTCACCCGTCTGCATCCCCCTCTAATTCAATGAATTGATCTCTCTTATCTCCACATTCCACCTTCTCTAAAATGTAAACTGATACACTTAGGGGGCCTTCCAACTCTTTTCTAGTTTGTAAAAAACAAATTGTTTTATCATTATGATCTCCTGGATGCGTGAAGATGATGACCAACCGGTTTACTGGATAGGGTATTGGTTTTAATTATAAGGATTATGGGGTTTTACTGTTGGGGGGGATATTGTTGATATGATTTTATTATACATTTTATGTTCTGTATTTTTATATTACTTGTAATATAATCCCACTTCGATCTGCAGGGAGAGGCGGGAAAATACAAATAAAAATTATTTTCTTCATGCCCCCTTATTCTCCCACTCTTATAAAAAGT